CATATATATTGGTTTAAGATCTTTTATCAATTTGTAAACAAACATTTACGAAATTGTAATTTGCAACAGGAATAATATATATATATATATATATATATATATATATATATATATATATATATATATATATATATATATATATATGAAACACGGATAAACATCCTGAAAGAACTAAACAACCTACTAACAAGCTCGTGTCATTTATCTTTAAAACACTTTTCAATACATTTTGTAAACAACATATTTCCATGTGACCTAACACAGGTTTCCTTGTGATGAGCTGTGCCTTTTTATTTTTAAATAACAAGTAGTTGTACATATGGAGTCGGGGGGCCGAAACATCTGGTTGTATATTATTATTATTATTGCATTAGGTTTCTAAGAGATTATTTTTTGTTAACATTTGTCCCTTAAGAAAGACAGCAGCCGTGTGTATAGACGACAAGTTAACATAAAGAGATTCTACGCACTATTTCAGCGTCTCTTGGTAATCGAGGGAAATGTATAAATTGTGATATATATATTTTTTTGAGAGAGAGAGAGAGAAATGTGGATTTAAAGTGGAATTTCGTTTCCATCGGGATTTTTGTTTGCGGTCTATGGATACTATTTCCTTGTTTGTTTGTTTGTGTGTGTGTGTGTGTGTGTGTGTGTGTGTGTGTGTGTGTGTGTGTGTGTGTGTGTGTGTGTGTGTGTGTGTGTGTGTGGTGGGCCCAATACCAAGCACCAACCCTGTGAGAGAGGGGGGAGGGCCCAATTACCAAGCACCAAATAGGCCTACCAACCCTACTCCCCCCCCCCCCCCCCCACTGAACCTCTCACCCCTGACTAGGCTGCACGTCAGCCACTTTTTCTGTGACCAGATAGAAAAAACAAAGAAAAAAAAATATTGTTTAAATTCTTCTATAATACAAACTGAGTATGAAAAATCTGTACAATTTGTGGAGACTCTTGAGTCTTCTATAAGCTTAGGACTTAAGTAATAATGTCTATATGCATAATATACATAAACAAAACAAAGAAACGCAACAATACATCTCCTTGTCAATGTCTTGTCGCAGATGTATTTACATGTGTAAAAAAAAATGCATAATCAATCAGGTATCAAGAAGAAGAAAAAAATATATATTAAAAACAAAAAAAAGCTTTACTGAAAATAGTAAACCACTCAGCTTTTGACTATTTGTACATATAAACAAAAGAAATGCGCTACTTTAAGAAATTAAAATTATCAACAGACGTATAGTCTTTTATTAGTATTATTTTTGTCAGTTCAAATTACGAACTATAACCAAAGTGAAACCTTTCTTTATTTTTTTTAAATAATGTGTTTTTGGACCACAGACATAAGGCACTACTGATTGACACTCTGTGTTTTGCTTTAATCACGCACAAACTCTTCACAAAAAATTAAACACACAAAAAAAAACTCAAATTTCTTCTTTGACCGCTTTTCTGAACGTTTCTAAGTCCGCAGACCAGATCTGGCTGGTAAATAGTAACTGCCAATTTTCATCACGATTAAATGAAACACGGCAAGGCTCTCCCCTCACCCGCTCCCCTTAAAGACGTTCAAGTAAGAACCTAAACTGTTACTAGCAACAGAAGGTAAAACACTGACCATACAAGGGACAAATGAAGATACTGAAGAAAACGGTAATGAAAGGAAGGTTATATATATATATATATATATATATATATATATATATATATATATATATATATATATATATATATATATATATATATATATAGAAGAGAATACTTCAAGAGAGGGACGATAGCGAAGAAGATAGCATTTCAAAACAATGATGAGTGTTAAAAACCAAACATTTAAATGTGGGATAGAAAGTGCGAAAGATAACACAGCAAAAGAGTGGAGAATTTGCACAAAGTAACATTACAACAGAAGGGAGAGAGAGAAAGTGTACACAGCAAAAGAGAGAGAGAGAGAGAGAGACAAGAAGACTGACTGTAGCACTACTTATTTTCAACGTTCTGGTCGAGCTAAATCTTGGCTATGTTATATACAAATGTCATAATTATTGAATTTTCACGTCGGTGCAGTGAAATGTGTGCATATGTTAATTTGCATTATGCTAGCATTCATTGTTATAATGTCTTGCCACACTACGTCACACAGACCCTTCTATCAACACCAGATGAGATGGGACACAGAGAGAGAGAGAGAGAGTGGCGACTCAACAAACCTCAAAAGGACAAAGCAATGGCAATTTCACGGGCGTCCTCAAAATAACAATAGAACCAGACATATTCCCTTCTCCCCTTAGTTGACCCCCCACCGCCTTCTCCCCTCACCCTTTACCCTACATGACTCCTTCCCTCAGCCTGCTCCCTCCCTGGCGACAACTACCCCAACCTACCCTCTCCTCCCCTCTTTCCCCCCCTAACTTTAAATTGGCCCATCAGACGCAGCAGTTCCCTTATCCTGTCCTCCATTTCCCCCCTCTCTCTTCCAGGCAACAACACTTCTGAGGGAAGGAAGGGTGGATATGGAAAAGGGGGAGCGCCCCCTCTGTATAAACACAGGAGGGGGCGCGAGGGGAGTGGAAGAGGGAAGAGGGGATGTCACGGACAGACGGACAAACACACCATCCTGGGGTCCTATTAATGAGATCGCTTTAGTGTGTGTTTCTTCTTCTTGGTAATGTGTTTGCTCCAGCTGGTGAACATAACAGCAGCCTAATCACCCCCAATGTTTCACTAAACTATTTGATTGACGTTTTTCCCTCTGGACCTTTTTTTTTGTGCAGAATTATTTCATATATATTTGCGCGAGCATAAAATAGTCCATTAAATTTTGTTTAACGAACTTCTTTAATTAAAATAATCCATGATTTAATTTCCCGCCAAATCTTGACCAAAATTTACCGCCAAATCTTGACTTGATCATATTTCCCCTCTTGCCCTTTGGCGTTCTATGTCCTCTCGGCTGTTTTTTCCCCTCTCTATCTCACAGACTCCCCATTTCATTCCATCCCTCAGGGAGACGTCAGCTGGCCTTTCCCTTAAGTTGGAACGAATTCCAATTCTTGTTTACCTTCGGAATTCTAAGGGAAGTAGCAGCAAATGTCAACAACACACATCCGAACGCGTCGAAATTTCCACAATCTCAAGTTCTCTTTATTTTTTGAACTTTGCCATCTTTCACTCTGCTATTGTATATTTTGTATCTCTTTTTGCGTAGTAAACAATAAAGTATATCAATAGCTACATGTTGGAAAGTGTTGGGAGGTGGGTGTGTGTGTGTGTGTGTGTGTGCGTGTGTGTGTGTGTGTGTGTGTGTGTGTGTGTGTGTGTGTGTGTGTGTGTGTGTGTGTGTGTGAATCTTGTGCTGAAGTCAGTGCCGTGAGCATAGTTTGAAACAATCCTCCCACCCGGCACTGTTCTCACATCTCCCGAAAATGGATGAGATGATGGAGTCAGAGTAATGGGTGATGAAGAATAGGGGGAGGAATAAGAGAGACATGGAAGTATTGGGAAACAAGAAGACGGAGGAAAAAGATGGAAATGAGAAACTGGAGACAAATAAGAGTCCGCTGAAATCAAATTGGCAATTTGATTTCAGTCAAATCAATTTGACATCAAATAGGAGCTGCCTCGTATGGGCCAATAGGCCTTCTGCAGTTACCTTTGTTCTTATGTTCTTATGAACGTACTGAGGACAACAAGGAAATACCACGAAGAGACGAAGGACTGAACCAAAGATAATAAAAATGACATCAAATCCAGATACACGTATAATATTAATAAGGTAATTTACACCAGAATTTGTACTCAAACTTGCACACGTTTTATACCAGTCACTGCCAGATCTGGTCTGTCGAATAAACACAATGATTTTTTTCCTTGATGTATCACAAATAAACTTAAAATATCCGATAGTTTATTGTATTGATTGTCTTTTGTTTTCATAGACTAAATAGAGATCAAGTTTAAGATTCTTTTCATTAATATAAATCTATTTTGAGTAAAGTATTAAAAGAATAAAGACTAAAATAACATTGAAGACTGAAAGAAAAATCACTGGGCTAGGTTAGTATTTTTGCTAGTATTTTTAACAAGGATTTTAACTAGGATTTTAACAGGGATTTTTAACTGGGATTTCGAGCATTGAACATTTGTTCCAGGTCTCATCAATATAATTGACACCATGTACATTAATTTAATCGTAGTTCTAATAGACACTTTTTTGTTTCTCTTCAAAATTTCACTTTTGAACTCAAAAGTGGACAAAACCAACATGTACATCGGTACCAAAATTAAGACAGAAACCCGTCCTTTCCTCCCTGATTGGTTGTGACTGCTGCCATCTAGTGGAGGAAATTTGAACTTTGTTTTAGGCGGCAAAAACAACCCAAAAATTGCAGTGATGCCAAGTTAAAGGGCTTAAACACATCTAAAAAAAAAAAAATAACAAATCACGGAATAACACAATAATAAGATAACTTTACAGATGAATAGAATCGTGAATGATATCATGAATGTTGAGCTTGACAGCACTGCAAGATGAGGAGGAAAGTTTTATTATAGTAAAAAATAATCTTGAAAGAAGCTCAGTCAGAGTTACATACACTTAGGAAATCTTCCAGTTGGCTTCTGGCAGACAAGCAAACCTCTACTCTCTCTCTCTCTCTTGTCGATCTCAAATATGAAATATTTTTAATTACATATAAATAAGGGTAAAAATCTGATGGTAATATATGAAATATATTTTGTAATAAATTAAGTTTTTTTTAAATCATAACTTGCTAATAATAATAATAATAATAATAATAATAATAATATAGATACTTTTGATAGCTATATATTTTTGTAATAAAATTTGGAAAACAATTCAAGAAAATAAATAATAATAAATTGCTTAAAATGCTATACAGTACTGCGGATATATATATATATATATATATATATATATATATATATATATATATATATATATATATATATATATATATATATATATATATATATATATATATATATATTCACCACACTACAGTGAATATAACATTTCATTCACTTGGGCACTTGAAATCTCGAACTACCGACCCCCAGGAGCGGGAGACAGTAGCTCTATCAACTGTGCTATGACCAGCCTTAATAAGGAAGGATTTCAGAAGCGACTAAGCGCTGCCCAACTGAAATTTTAAGCCTTCCCTGACTGCCATTTGAGCACAGAGGAATTAGACCACCCATGCCCACCTCATTTGTGAAAAAAACATAGACAAGAGCTGTCGTTTCACTCATTTCATTGAACAAATATATTGTATTTATACATTCATGTATTCTGATAAACCCAATTTTAGTTTTGAAAGCGATCATTGATAACCTGGTTCACTCTGGGGCATATTGATGTATCTAACATCACTGTGTGTCATCAACAGCACCTTATATGTGAGCTCAGATTGAATTGATGTTTGATATTGTGAGAAAGAAATAGGATCACATTTACACTTAAAATGCATGTGATAAAAAATATTTGTAATAGGAAAATAGGGTTAAAAACACAAAAATAGGAGGGGGGGGGACAAACAAATTGGTGCTAACGACAAACTAAGCTTAAGATTGGCCCTATTGACGGTAAGGAACAGAATAGACAGGCGCTGGTGATGTCACGGGTGTTCGTGTATCTTAAAAATAATCTTTCTAACCGGTTAAGGACATATTTAATATAACAATATATTTTGTGTGTGTGTGTAAGTTGTTGACGGGTAACATGACAGCTGGTAGACAGACGCACACGATGGCTGAGACGGAGGCTGTCACTGGGCACTGACAGGAACAGTAGACGGTAACCACTGACAGACATGATGGCTGAGACGGAGGCTGTCGCCAACAGTCAGCCAGCCAGCCAGACAGACAGACAGACAGACAGACAGACCTGAGGCTGGAAGTGACAGCGACGTGAATGACACGGAGATTGAGAGACAGACGCTTGCCTGCCTGCCTGCCTGCCTGTCAACCGTCGAATCCGTCGGGAGCGCGGAGAGCAGAGGATGCAGACAGAGACAAATTAGTGGACGGTTTAGCTGTGTTTCATGGTTTCAGGTTTTTATTTTTATTTTATTGTCCTTTCTCAAAAAAAAAAACACGAATGTGTTCCCGCAGAGGCAACACCCAACATGGACTAGAACACAACAAGAAAACAAAAAAGTTTAGTTTAAAAAATATGAATTGTCTTTTATTTTTATTTTTAGTACTCTACCTAGACGACGTCTCGAGACTCTTGTAGTGCAACACTTAAATAAATATGCGAGTCAACACGCGGTGGGATTGTTAATTAATAAGACCATGAACACTTTGTCATTGAAGTTTGCTGGAAGCACTCGGACGCTCACTTGGGCTCTCTTTCATCACGCGAGGCACTTAACAAGAGGGCGCTCACTTAGTGGGGAAGGGGGGGGGTGAGAGGGGGGGAATGGAACCATGTAGGGTGTCTCAGAAGGGCAGTTTGGAGGGGGGTAGGGGTCGTATAGGGGAGGGAAAAAAAACTCTTTATAGGAACATATATGTTTCACAGTATTTTTGTGTATATTTTGTGAACTGTATATTTTAGGAAGATCATTGAACTGGGGGGCGCTATATATTAGGCCTATATGGCGCGGTTTAGGCTTATATATAGCATTTATCACTCGTCTCTCTTTTTCTTTGCCTTACCCTCCACCTGTATGGTTCTGGTGGTAAGGTCGACACACTCGCCGAAGGAAGGTTCAGTGCCTCCGTCGCTGTAGTCGCGGCCCGCGAGCCGCGACAGCGAGAGGATGTAGGAACACGCTATTCTGAGCACCGACAGCTTCGAAAGCTTTTGGTTGTGGCTGTAGGCCGGGACTGAGGTTCGCAGCTTCTCGAACGCGGCGCTGATGGTGTGGACGCGATTGCGCTCGCGGGCGTTGGCTTCGATGCGCCGTTCGCGCGTCATGTTCTTGTAGTTGCGCTGTTTGTGCTTGTTGGGTTGTAGGAGGGAGTGGATGGTGTCGTCGTCGACGTCGATGGGATGGTCGTCGCCTTGGGACGAGTCGTCAGGGTCGTGTTGGCTCGTCGTCGCCGCCGCCGCCTCGCGCGACGGGCTCCTGCTGCTGCTCCTCGAGGCGATTAGCGACTCGACGCTCAGGAATTTGGAGGACGACTTTCCGGTTTTGCGGACGACGCTGACTTCGGCTCCGCCGCTGTTCCGGCCGGATGGGAGGTGTCCGGATGGGAGGTGGCCGGTGCTGTGGCCGGCCACCTCCGGCCCTGTCACACGCGTCACTAGCGGCAGCGGCAGGTCGTCCCGCCCCTGTCGTTCCTCCGTCGGGGAGCGGGGGGGCGGGGGTGACATGGGCGGGGGCGAGGCCGGGTGGAGGTGTGGGTGGATGGGTGGGCGGTGGAGGGGGGAGTAGTGATGGGGCAGCAGCATGGGGTACGGGTGGGGGGTGAGGCCCGGGGTCAACCCCGCCCACCCTAAGGGCGCCACCACCCGCGGGTATCCCCACTGGGTGGCCACGGGCGGCCATGCGGGCGGCAGCAGAAGCGGCGGGAAGCCGCCCATCGGGGGCCGCCCGAGGGAGCCAAGCAGTGGGTGGTGGGCCAGCAGGGGCGGCGCCCCTGGGGAAGGGGACGACGGGGCGCTCTTGTCGCCGCCCACATCGGTCTGGCCCTCGGCCCGCAGCGCCTTGGCCGCCCGCGGCAGATCTGGGCTATGTTCCCGCTTATTGGCCAGGTCGTGACACAGCCGCCGCGGCTCTGCGGGCTTGCGGCGGCTGCGGACTGCGGCGCGCGTCCTAGGCGACAGCGGCGCCGCCCCTATGGGCGGCTCCAGGGGGCTGGCGGGCGGGCTGGGGCGGGCGGCGGGACTGGGCGGGCTGGCCGCCCCCGGGGAACCGGAATAACTCTGGCGCAGGGCGGAGTAGTGCTTGCGGAACTTGTGGAACTTGTGGTGTGTGGGCGGCGTGGGCGGGCGGGTGGGCACGCGGATGGGCGTGACGCGGACCTCGACGCTGTCCTCGGAGGCGTCGGTCGGGGAGTGGTCGTCCTCGCTGAGGAAGAAGTCGTCGCGCGGCCCCTCCACCGCTACCTCCTCCTCCATGCTCCTGAAACACGACACAAACCGTTAAGTCCACCTCTCACAAACACCGTTTTCTATCATTTATCTATTGACATATTTAGATATACGGGTATATGTCTGTTTATATGGGTGTATGTCTGTCTATATGGGTATCTGTCTATCTATATTGATATCTGTCTGTCTATATGGATATCTGCCTGAATGGGTATCTTTCTGTCTGTTAGTGTATGTTTCTGGTTTATGGGGATGATAAATATTGGCAAACAACAACAGTAGTAGTAATAGTAGCAACAGTAGGCCTATTAAAGACAACAGTAGGCCTGTTAACAGTAGTAATTAACAGTTATGGGAATAGTAACAGTATAATTATCTATCTATCTCTCTCTAATCTATCTGAGCATCTCTTGATATTACACTTTTCTCTTCACAGTCAAATTGCCGGATTTTGTTTAAAATAAGTATATATATATATATATATACACGGTGTATAAAAGTCCTTTAACACAATTGAAATCCCTAAATTTTTAACAGCTTGAAAAATAGTGAAGATATCAAATAGGGTTTAAAATAAATCAGACAATAAAGCCCAGCATGTTTGCAATAATCTAAATAAAGGTATTATTATTTACTGGAGACTGTGATAAGGCTATTATCCTTCCCCTCACAAGGTACCGTACCTAATGCAGGCGACACAAACAGGTTTATATTGTATATGTCACAAGTCGTCGGAAGCACAGTTGTCTCCAGTACGCTTGTGTGAGTACTGGGTGAGTACACCTGTTTGAAGGGGTGCTGGGAGGGCTTCTACTTCTCAAGTAGGTACTGCTCGGTACACCTGCTTGAAGGGGGTTCTGGGAGGGCTTCTACTTCTCAAGTAGGTACTGCTCGGTACACCTGCTTGAAGGGGGTTCTGGGAGGGCTTCTACTTCTCAAGTAGGTACTGCTAGGTATTCGCTCCTTAATCTTACTCTTGCTTCTGGCACATTTGCTCCTGTTATTGCTGTTACTCTTCCTGTTAGAATCAACGCGGTGTTGAAGCCGTTCCACTTTCAAACGGTATCACACACACACACACATACACACACACACACACACACACACACACACACACACACACACACACACACACACACACACACACACACACACACACACACACACACACACACTGCGAATGCGAATAGCATCACGCGGGTTCGTTATATCTAACACCAGCGGAGTTCGTAATATCCAACCGGACGTGGACCGCAACACCGCGACCTGGACCACGCGAGCGCAAGTTTGCAGTAAAAAAAAAAAAACATTGCAACAGTGAATATATTTTTTTCCCTTCCTCCAGAAACGGAAGGTAAAGGAGCACCAATTTGTACATTTTTCCCACACTCGTGTGAGTTAGATGAGGCTGTATGAGGAATATAAATCAGGTTTGTAATGCATATGTGGTGTGGGAGTGATGGGAGATGTGTGGGGGAGGGTGGGGTGTGGGGTGATGAGTTGGGGGGTGTTGGGGGAGATGTGCTAGCGGAAGGGGAGGGGGTCACACCAGCTCATTAATACGCAAACACCAGCTCATTAACACGCAAACACCAGCTCATTAACACGCAAACACCAGCTCATTAACACGCAAACACCAGCTCATTAATACGCAAACACCAGCTCATTAACACGCAAACACCAGCTCATTAACACGCAAACACCAGCTCATTAACACGCAAACACCAGCTCATTAACACGCAAACACCAGCTCATTAACACGCAAACACCAGCTCATTAACACGCAAACACCAGCTCATTAATACGCAAACACCAGCTCATTAACACGTAAACACAAGCTCGTCAGACCAAGATTTGGCCCAATGATAAACACGTGGGATTGAATGCGTATGAAAACATTGAGAATCTGGGAGGATAAATGCGTTTCTTTGGCGTATCTCGCATCCTTGTTCGTGCGTAAAAAGTCACCCCCTATCCCCCCACCTCCTTCCCATCTCGCTCCTTACAAGACAAACGCAAAAAGAGCAGACGCACAATGTTCTATTGGGTAGACGCATCTGCGTTGCAAAAACCATAGATGATGCAAAGCTAGCTGCACGGCAGATTATGCAAGTTCTAAATGCCTCCAAGACGCGAAACTAAAGATAAGAAATACACCGAGAGTGTTGGTGTATATCCGTGACTAAATTATGCTTGCTGGGGGGCTCAGTATGCAATTGTTAAGGCAGTAATAAGCCTCCAGAGGTTGATAGGTCTTATAGATCCTGCGCCGCCGTCATTAACAGGAGACTCCATGGGATTCGAGGCCAGCTTTTCCAGTCGACTGAAGGTACAGAGGCGGCACTCAAGAGCTTGAATTCAACTCTCCAACAGAGATAAGTATATATGCAGTTAGGTAGAGGAAACTGCTGGCATCATGTACACAGCGAAACACCCAATACTAACTACCACGAACACGACACCACGAACTACCACAAACACCACACCACGAACTACCACAAACACCACACCACGAACTACCACAAATACCACACCACGAACTACCACAAACACCACACCACGAACTACCACAAATACCACACCACGAACTACCACAAATACCACACCACGAACTACCACAAACACCACACCACGAACTACCACAAACACCACACCACGAACTACCACAAACACCACACCACGAACTACCACAAACACCACACCACGAACTACCACAAATACCACACCACGAACTACCACAAACACCACACCACGAACTACCACAAATACCACACCACGAACTACCACAAACACCACACCACGAACTACCACAAACACCACACCACGAACTACCACAAACACCACACCACGAACTACCACAAATACCACACCACGAACTACAAACACGACACCACGAACTAACTACCACAAACACCACACCACGGACTAACTACCACAAACAAAGACGCCCCCCAGCAATACCGTAACAAGGGAACAGTTTTGCAACTCGAGCGAGCGGTCGTTCGCGGGTAAATCGCCCCACCGCGAAGCGGGAACCGTCCCACTGGACTGGAAAGACGGGTGAGCTCCGTTCCCTTCCGTCACCAGGGGATAGGGAGGGGACGGTAAGGTGGGAAAGGGGGGGGGAAGGATTAAGAGACAGAATAAGTAAGAAGAGGGAAAGGAGACGGAAAAGGGTGGTTAGGTTAGGTTTGTTTCTATTTTATGTTCAACCGTCTCTTTGTAACGGTCACTGATGACAAACTATCAAGGGAGGGGGTAAACAACATAGGCCTAAACGATTAGGCCTAACTGGGAGAACTCGCGTTCCGTTAAGTTCAAACTTCAATAGTTATATATAGTACTTAACCGTAATGTTGAGGGGTTGAGAGCAGGCTCTTGGACCCCGCCTTTCTAACCGTCGGGGTCTAATATATAGACTCTCTCTCTCTCTCTCTCTCTCTCTCTCTCTCTCTCTCTCTCTCTCTCTCTCTCTCTCTCTCTCTCTCTCTCTCTCTCTCTCTCTCTCTCTCTCTCTCTCTCTCTCTCTTTTACACATACTCATCCCTAGGATTCAGCCCGTAGCAGCTGCCTAACTCTCAGGTACCTATTTACTGCTTGGTGAACAGGTGCATCAGGTGACAGAAACTGCTCACTAGATTCTGTGTCGACCGGGTATTGAACTCGGGCCCTTAGGACTACGACCCTTGATCGCTGCCGACACGGCCGTCGGGCAATATGTGTGTGTTCACCTAATTGTGCTTGTGGGGTTGAGTTTCGGCTCTTTGGTCCCGCCTCTCAACCGTCAATCAACTGGTGTACAGGTTCCTGAGCCTTCTGGGCTCTATCATATCTACACTTGAAACTGTGTATGGAGTCAGCCTCCACCACATCACTGCCTAATGCATTCTATTTATTTACTGCTCTGACTGACAGATATCTTTCTGATATCTCTGTGGCTCATGTGCATGGATACTCAGGTTAGACCTGTGTCCCCTGGTTCGAGTACCACCTGATAGGTCCACCCTGGCAGTGGAAATGTCCACACAGTCGTGGAATGTGAGAGGAACCAAGAAGTCAAGATAACTCCTGCAATGTGATTAAGCCAAGGATAATGATATGTCTTAAGGTTATCTTGAGATGATTTCGGGGCTTAGCGTCCCCGCGGCCCGGTCTTCGACCAGGCCTTCTTTTTGTTACACACCTGCAGGAAGCAGCCCGTAGCAGGTGTCTAACTCCCAGGTACCTATTTCCTGCTAGATAACAGATGGCACCAGGATGAAAGAAGTTCTACCCATTTGTTTCCGCCTCCACCGGGGATCGAACCCGGAACCTCAGGACTACGAATACGACGCGCGGTCCACTCAGCCTTCAGACCCGTAAGGCCTGATAGTGGCCCTATATATAAGGCCACTCACTGAAATTACTGCTTTACGGGCTATTCATGCCCGTGCCACCTCTTGGGTGGCTTAACCTTCATCAATCAATCAATCAATTACTGCTGCCACCACTCCTCTCAATTGTGAATATTAATTATTGGCAGTATATAATTATCCTTGGCTTAATTATTTTGCACGGCAGACATCTCCCGTCACGCAGGGTGCAGTCGCACCTCCACAGATCTCCAGTATCAGCTCTTGATACTGGAAATGGCTCAAAAGGGCCACCACTTACGGGCTATTCATGCCCGTGCCGCCTCTTGGGTGACTTAATCTTCATCAATCAATCAATCAATTATATTGCAAGAGTTTTCTTGAGCACCTTGAACACATTCTCACTACCAGGGAGGACCTATCAGTTGTTTCATGCGGTACAGCTACAAGGTAAGGATGGTTATTAAGGTAATCAATGGGGGACTTGGTGTCCCGTTACAACCCGGTCAATTCCCCCGGAGAAATTTTGTATGTGGTAATCATGTTTCCCCGAACTCTTCCGTCTACCAGTGACGTGAGGTGCAATTCATGCAGCCTTTCCTCTTAACTCATACCGCTTAGTTCTGGGACTAGTCTAGTGGTGTACCTTTGAACCTTCTCCAGCTCTGTCTTGTGCTTC